CATTTTTTGGTTGGCATTGACATAATATAATCTATTCTTATTTTCCCATATCTCTGTGTTCTTATATTTGAGATGTGTTTCCTTTTTGTTTTGCCTTCTTGTATTTTTTCAGTCTTTTAATTATAGTACACAATTCATTTACATCATCCTAGCCACATTGCTACTATTTTCATGTGTACTAATTCTATATGTATTTAACAATCTTCAATACAATATCATGATTGTACATGTCAAAATATCACCTAGATTTATCCACATATTCATCCTTCTGATGTGTTTGTTCTTCTTTTCTTCCTACCATTCTATTTTTCCACCTGGGCTTATTTTTCCTTCTGCCCAGAGAATTCCCTTTAGTCTTTATTTTAGAACGGTTCTCCTGGCAGCAAATACACTCCATTTTGCTTATTTAAAATAACTTGGTTTTGTATGCATTTTTTAAATTTTATTATGTTATGTTAGTCACCATACAATACATCATTAGTTTTTGATGTGGTGATCCACGATCCATTGTTTTCGTATAACACCCAGTGCTCCATGCAGTATGTGCCCTCCTAATACCCATCACCAGGCTAACCCATCTCCCCACCCCCCTCCCCTCTAAAGCCCTGTTTGTTTCTCAGAGTCCATAGTCTCTCATGGTTCATCTCTCTCTCCAATTCCCCCCCTTCATTTTTCCCTTCCTTCTCCTAATGTCCTCCGTGCTATTCCTTATGTTCCACAAGTAAGTGAAACCATATGATAATTGACTTTCTCTGCTTGACTTATTCACTTAGCATAATCTCCTCCAGTCCCATCCATGTTGATGTAAAAGTTGGGTATTGATCCTTTCTGATGGCTGAGTAATATTCCATTGTATATATGGACCACATCTTCTTTATCCATTCATTTGTTGAAGGGCATCTCGGCTCTTTCCACAGTTTGGCTATTGCGGACATTGCTGCTATGAACATTGGGATGCATATGGCCCTTCTTTTCACTACATCTGTGTCTTTGTATGCATTTTTTTAAAAAGATTTTATTTATTTGACAGAGAGAGACACGGCAAAAGAGGGAACACAAATAGGGGGAGTGGGAGAGGGAGAAGCAGGCTCTCCCCAGAGCAGGGAGCCCAATGCGGGGCTCGATCCCAGGACCCTGGGATCATGACCTGAGCCAAAGGCAGACGCTTAATGACTGAGCCACCCAGGTGCCCCTTTGTATGCATTTTTGAGAGAGATTTTTGTTGCCCAAGGAATTGTAGGTCAATGGTTAATTTCCTTCAGTGGTTAGCAAGTGCATGACAATATCTTCTGACTTTCTGTTGCTTCCTATCTGAGGTCAGCTAAAAGCCTGATGGTGGTTTATTTGAAAATAAGAAATCTTTTTACCTCTGGCTGGTTTTAAGATTTTTCTCCCTAAGTTTGATTTAGAACTCTTTTATGCTCGATTGTGGGTTTCTTTTATTATATCCTGCTTAGGGTTTGTAACATTGCTTAAATCAATGGCTTTATGTCTTTGGTCAGTTCTAGAAAACTCAAGCTTTACATTTTCAAATACTGCTTCTGCCCCATTATCTGTTTCTTCCCCCATGATGCAGATCTCACCTCACCCTTCTCATGCTTCCCATCCTGCATCTGCTCTGGCCTGCCTCCCTGCTGTCTAACTCCCATGCAGGTTAACCTTACTATCACATCATTCATTTCTGTTATATTTTTCAGTTTTAGAACTTTCTTTTTATTCTTTTTGGTAGCTTCTACTTTTCACCAGTATTATCCGTCTTTTTCCCCTGACTTATTCATCTTGAGGACGTTAAAACCCCATATCTGATGACTGCACTGTTTAGACATTTTTCAGGTTTGTTTCTATTATTAAATTTTGCTCTTGATTTACCCATCAAGTCTTGTCTTTTTTTCTTATTGTTTTTGACTGATTGCTGGATATTCTGTGTTTTAAACATGTAGAACTCATTGAGGCTTTGCATGATTTAGAAAATATTTTACCTTGATCTGACAGCAATGCACAGGATGTAAGCCATGGGACAAGTCTATGTAAAATATAGACCATTTCAGAGATAATGTCATCATCTAAAGAGTAGATTCTGAAAGTGGGTGCAGCCAGGAGACTGGAGAAGAAGGAGAGGTTGTACAAGGTCTAGGGGAACACAAGGAGGACCCTGGGGCAGATGCTGAGGGATGGCACCTGAGTGTAGGGCAGTTGAAGACAGAGGCAAGGGACCAATCTAATGAATGCGATGCTTCAGGACATTGATTTGTTGGTCTTGTTTCACTGCTGGTATTGCTGGACTGACAATGTGGCCTCATAAGAGAGGACAAGAAAGCAGATAAACAATAGCAGTTTCTGTGGTGAGTGATTTTGTTGAGAAAATAATATTTGGAAAGCATCTCAAAAAGGAGATAACAAATGGCTAGTTACATATATTTCCAAGCCTTCATTTCTTAGCTAATGCCTGTGGTATTTGCGTTTGGAAACCAAAAAGTTAATATGGGTGATAGGAGCTGGGCTCAGTCTGTGAGCTCAACTTAAGAAAAGCATAGTAAAGAATCATGAGACTAGCTACCAGGGTCCTGATAGGGAAATGGGGAAGGAGGCGGTCCTGAGTGTTAATAGAGATCATTTCATAACTTGGATTTTATGACATTGACCTTGCAGGGAGCACAGTTCCCCTCTTTCTCCTTCACCCCATCTCTTTCCCCTTTGAAGCTTCCCTGAAGACCCCAGTGCTGAGATTTTGGCTAAGCCCCTATTTCAGGAGGGGTCTCACAAGTATATTCTGGGGAGCTCTATTCCTTCAGGCCAGGAAGTCCCATAAAACATTCTGGGTTTTGTGGACATCAAGAATTTCTGAAATGTGTGTCAATGTTTCTATGTGTGTGCTTGTATTGTAACTTCCAAGTATATTTTTGCTCCCTACTGATTTGGGACAATGAGTGACTGGGCTAGATCTGGAGAGGTCTCTCCAGGGCATGATGACACAGGACAGGCTGCCCCTGGTGCTGATTCACCTTGGACAGTGTTGTTTCATTCAAAAGCTACTAATGTGGGCTCACCGCTGGCAATGGTGGCAGGCACAACATTTACTCGCCCTACCAAAGACTCTTGCACAAACCATGACCTGTGAACATCAATTCCATGAAAGGGGCCATGTTTTTAATCCCCTATTCTATCAGAGCAGAACCAGAGCAAAGACATTGGTCACAAACAAAATACCTTAACTACAATTCACACATTTCTAAGTACTGCAGATCCTTAGAAAACTATTTCCCAACTTCATGTATTTCTGATGTCCAGTCACAAAGATTCTTCTATAGTGGGGGTGGGGGGGGAGTATGGCCTGGTCTCTACATTTGTAAAATGAAACCAAGGGCATTTTCATGTGGATCAAGAGAGAACATGACAGACATAGTGAGAAAAAACAGGATACCAGGCCTTCCTCGGGTGAAACCACATAGCCCAAGAATGATGGCTCAACCCCTCAGAACCTGAGTGCTCTAAAGCAAGGGTATGTAATAGGTCAGCTCTGTTAACCACACAAACTTACTCTTGTAAGATAGTGTATGCCCCTCTCAATGTGTGGGAGATATTACAAACTCTACATTCAGACTGGTCAAAAAACCAAAGCTGAACCAGGCCACTACTTTTGTGCTGTGTCCAGTGGAACTATCCCCAGTTGTCTTGGGAAATCCTATCACATCATTGCTTATGACAACTTAATGAAAATGGATTGTTCAGGAAACAGGCAGACTTTCAACTAGGAACCACTCAAATCAGAGTCTTTAGAAACCCAGGAGAAAGGAAGATGCCTCAGCCCCTCCATTTTGAAAGATTCCTCCAAGTGGCATTGCCATAGCCTCTCTGTCCCAGTCATGCCCCCAGGTGCTTCCACAGCCTCCCTCACTCTGCCCTTCCAGGGCTACTCCCCACAAGGATCACAGAAGACAGAGCTGCTCATCAGGCTGGGTGTCTGTCACTACAGTGCCTATCCCAGGGGTAGTGATTGGTGTTGACAGCCATGGAGGCCAGGCTGGGCTGGGAAGGGGGATACAGGCATCATCAGGGAGCAGGTGGGACATGGTGACTGGAGCTACCATTTTCTGAGCTATCTTCAGAGGCCCTGGGATGACCATCTATGTGTCAAGGGGCTCATGTGCAGATGTCTTGATGGGTGTCCATGGAGGGCAGAGCATTTTATCAGCTTCACTCACCCACCTCCAATCTCTGTGACTAGATATAGCCCCTCTTCAGAAGGACCACCCCATTATGAGCCTGGTCCTAGAGCTGGAAAAGAGAAGAAGCAAGCTGTTCCCTGGCAAAATTGTCTGCATTCCTTTTGAGTGAGATGGATGAGGGGCATGGAGAGATTGGCGGATGAATGAATAAATGAATGGATACATGGATGGTTACATGGATGGGTAGATACATGTATGGATGAATGGATGGATGGACGAATGGATGAATGACTAAATGAATAAATACACCATCCAACCAGTGGGGACCCTGCAAGTACTACTAGGACAGCCTCCCATGAGCTGGGGAGTCTCATTGTCTCAACACTCTGCACCTACAGTCAAGGAAAGAGCAATAATGATGATGAATTCACCACCTCTTGTCAGAGGCAGCACCATTTATAAAAGATAAAAGATGTGGGAGAGTGTAAAATAGATAGGGACCCAGAAAGTGCTCTGAGATACCTTTAATTTTCCTGGTACTGAATAGACCTGGGATTACAGACTGACTCTTGCTCTCTGGAGGGAAAAGAACTTCTTTTTTTTTTTTTAAGATTTTATTTATTTATTTGTCAGAGAGAGAGAGAGAAATAACACAAGCAGGGGGAGTGGCAGACAGTGGGAGAAGCCTGCTCTGCACTGAGCAAGAAGCTCGATGTGGGACTCAATCCCAGGACCGTGGGTTCATGACCTGAGCTGAAGGCAGATGCTTAACCAACTGAGCTACCCAGGTGTCCCAGGAACTTCTGCTTGAGGAGCAAGGGACTCCTTCTCTGCCTATTTCTGCACGCAGGTACTGTTTAGGAGGGAGAACTGGGAAAACCATGGTCTGGCATCCACAATAAAGGTGCAGTCCACCTGGAAAAAAAAAAAGTAATTATGAGATTAGAACAGTTTAACACATGGAGAGCACTTAGCATGAAAGACTGAGTAGGAGTTCAAGGTGCATGAAAACTACAAATGACGAAAAGCAAAAAGAAACAGTGGCCTAGGGTAGGATCCGAGGAGCTCAAGACTCCACCAAAATGATGGGCAGGGGTTGCTGAATCTGCACATGT